GGCCCCCCGGAACCCCGCGCCTATCCAACTTCCCCGTTCCCCATCTCCTGACCCCTATCCACCCCTGCCCCCTGACAGGCCCCCCGGAACCCCGCGCCTATCCAACTTCCCCGTTCCCCATCTCCTGACCCCTATCCACCCCTGCCCCCTGACAGGCCCCCCGGGACTCCCACGCCTATGCAACCCCCCTGTCCCCTGACCGCCTCCACCCCATCCAACTGCTCCCTGCTCCCTGTCCCCTGACTGCCTCCCGGAACGCCCCGCCTCTTATCCAACCCCCCAGCCCCGGCCCCCTAACCATGCCGCTCAGAGCAGCATGTCTGGCAGCCGCGCCACCCGACTGGAGCTAGACACACTGCCGCTCTACTCCACAGGAGCGTGCAGCCCCACCGCCCAGAGCGCTGCCCATGCAGTGGCATGGCTGCAGGGGAGGGGGACAGCAGGGGAGAGGCCGGGGGCTAGCCTCCTCAGCCGGGAGCTCAAGGGCCAGGCAGGACAGTCTCATGGGCGGGATGTGGCCTGCAGGCCGTAGTTTGCCCACCTCTGACCCAGACCCATGCTAGGTGTTTAACTGAAACATGTAAGAAGACAAGGTCCCTTTCCAAATGAGCTTGAAATGACTTCTTGAGCAAGGCCCTCAATCACTGTCAGGGATTTATTTACTTTTACGTTAGGAATGCCCAAACCGGGCTGAACAGTGCTAGAGGCTGTAAAGCATATGCAAGATTACATTCATTTTGATTCCTTTCAACAAGCAAGGTGTCAAACCCCATAACTGATCCCGCCTGTGACACCGGAACCTGATGTCACACACGTGACTTATGCCACCCTTCCCCTTTGCTATCAGGTGCAGCACAGCTGTGAGTTTCAATGCCATGACAGCACGGACGCTCCCTGAGCACTCAGAACAGAACTCTGGCCCGGATGGAGGGTGATTTTCCATCATGTGAATTGAATTCATATACACTCAGCTCCCCAAGGCACTTTTCCCACTGGTATTTGCATAAAACACAATTACACTCAGTGTCGTTAAAACAAAGTCACTCCTATATCTCAGTCTCACCTGACAAGCCCATTAAGGAACATTGCTTGCTCTGGAGAATGTACTGTGCAGGGGCCCAATCCTGGAAACACACGCGTGCTTCACTTTCAAGCCTGGGAGTAGTTCCACGGAAGCCAGTGGGACCAGCCACATGGATAGAGTTAAGTATGTGCGTGTTTACACGACTGGGGCAAAGTCCAGGAGAGACAGGATGACAGGTGAGAGACAGACGGCTTGGGAGGGAGTTATGGATGAGAATAAAAAGGGGAGCAGCAGCTGCTTCCGGAGGTGGGTTTGAAGGAGAAGAGAGGGGGTGACAACACGCAGACCAGGCTGGGACAGCCTGACAGAGAGCATGAAGTCCAGAGCATGAACAGGAGACAAAGGAATTGAGAGGGATGTAGGATGGGCAGCAGGGGGAAACGGCAACAGAGATGCAGGTGGTGGCCAGATGGTGATGGCAGGGAGCTAGAATCAGATGCCATTAGAGGCAGGGAGCCAGTGGATGATCGCAAGCAGGGTGATGTGTCTGGAGTGGTACCAAGGAAGAAGAGGCCTTTACCAGCAGCATTTCAGCAAAAGCCACCTCCTTCCCAGGCCCTATGCTCACATTCCCTCCCCCCCCCTTCGCTGCAATTAGCAAGCAGGAATGCCTGTGCATATTGCTACACTCTTATGCTATAAAGCAAGTTGAGCTTCTTAGCATGAAAAATGGCCTGTTACAAAGGAATAGCTGATTAAGGGCTGCAGCTGGAATTGGTTCAACAGAAAATTATGCAGCAGGCACATTGTATAATTTTACAATTTGAGCACCTCTCCTTTTGCAGTTGGTTCGCTGAAGTGTTTTGACAGTGCCGCACTGTAAACCCATCATCATCTTTCTTGCAAGAGTCTTTGTTTCAGGCTATATGGCGAAGGAGCAAAAAGTTGCCTAAAGTTGTCTGGAATGAAATCATCTGCTAGGGGCTGCTGGCAGGGCACCCTCCACTCAGTGCCCTCCACTCAGTGCCCTCCACTCAGAAATTCACTTCCCCTGGTGATCTAAGAGAGCCTATGTTTGTGACCCTTCATGGGCAACATGCCCAACATCCACCCTTCCTTTGAACTCAGTCAGACTATTGACGAGAGTAGGGATTATTTTCATGACTATCTAACGAAGGAAGGATGGGGCCCCAGCTTGCCTTCGCCAAGACATAAAGATACCTTGGAGAAGGCAAGATCAACATATGTGATGTCCCCTTC